AACTTTCTGTCACATTTTATTAGTTGGTATCATTTTTACTAATACCTGTCTTATAGCTTCATGACTTTGAGTTCATATTATTTTCATGCTTCAATTAGAAAGAAGTTGATAGCCAGACTATCCAGGAAGGTAATGGAAAAGTCTTGTAGCAGGGCTTAGTGGTGAAATTTATAGTTAAATGAAACTTTGAAATATACTATAAAACTTCTTCTTCCTTTACGCACTTTTACTTGAGGTCTCATAAACAGTAATATGTAGAAATGCAAAACTTAATCAGCTAAAAAATATAGCAAATCCCACATATCACTTTATGCAATGCCAGGAGAGCAGAAATATATTTTCCTAACCAGAGGAAATTAACTAGGCAACAGTCCTATATCTATAATTTAAAGCAGTAAAATATGTATGGCAGAAGCTAAAGCCACCTTAAAAGAATTCAGGGTAGCAGTATATCACAAATTAATGAAATGGAGACATTTTTAGAGCATGCAGCACTGATGATATTAAAGGGGGGAGAATATTTCACCACATAGATCAGACTGATAAATACTTTTAAAATCAAGCTTTTTTTCCCTGTTTAAAAGTGTAAGATCTTGAATGTTAGGAGGAAGCACGTAGAAGCCATTAACACTTCTGACCAAATCTCAGTAGAGATTAGGATTATTTTACTCTGTCCCTGCCTGTAAAGCTCTGATGGGGTTTACACATTAGGAAAATCTGAGTAAATCAAAAGCCAGGAATTACAGAGTCAGCACTTACATTTTTCCATCTAAAACAGAGCTGAAAGAAACTTTAAAAAAATTACTTTATATTCCGTGCTGTAGCCAAGCTGGACACTACGGAATATTCAACTACCCCAGCTTTTTTAAATGCAATCAATTTACTGCTGCCAAATGTAGTAGGTTTATGTACATCTGGGAAACATGCACCTACGGGGCTGATGAATTTCTCCTGACATTGCACTGATTTCAAGAGAATGTTATTTTAAATTGGCAGTAGAGAGACTGGTAGAGAAGGATAAAGCCCTGAGGATGGCTGAATCAAAGAGAATTTCAAAAGAATTTTCCTGATGGTTCTTGGATAATATCACATGTTAGCTATTTTCAAAGCCAATAGTTTCCAACACACTTCCATTTATGGTATCAATAATTAAAAAATACTTCAGTGGGAGAGGAACTTACCTTACTGAGAAGAGAAATTGGAAAGCTGTGTTATTATCATAAACACAGGAGATGCAAAAAGCTGTGTCTCCATGGAAAAGCTATGGAAACAGGGGTATCTTATTTGCAGCTATTGAGTGGTTACCACAAAATGTGATGTGATTGCATGTGCGTGTTCAAAGTGCTACTAGAACATGATCACAGAGAAATGAAGGGCAGATCCTCGTCTCCTTTGTGCAACAAGGCCAAATTAAACCACCTCAAGCTTTGGTCCTACACCTCAAAGACAACTAGAATAGCACTAAAGAAATGTTTTGGATCCAATTCAGGGGTAAATCTGTGTTTAAAGAAAATTTAAATTACCAAAACTTAAATCTCATTATGTCCCACTCCCTGCCAGCATGTCCCTGCCAGCTCCTAATGAATTTTTAACATCCTTCCCCCACCCCACTGCTCACACCAGCCCTGACTCGGGCACCCTGAACTGTACAGCAGCACTCTAATTGCACCTCACATGTCAAGGGGCAAGAAGAAAGCAGCGTGGTGAGAGCATTGATAAATTTAACTTAACATTCCTCCAGCTCCTCAGCAGCAAGGCAGAGCAGAGAGCTCCCCTCCACATTTTACAGGGGTGTCAGTTACTTCAAAGGAATATATTTGAGCACGAGGGAGCCTGGCTTGCTCCCAGCTTATGCATCATTTGTGTCTGGCTGTTTCTGGAGATCCACAGCAACGAAAAGACTTCCTCCAGTTTGGGGCACGGTGTGGAGTTTGCCATACCTGCTTTATTAGGGTGCTGGAAGAGGTGAGCCCTGCACGTTGCATACAAACAGTGTAGTTGGAGCTGCAGCTCCAGCCATCTGTATTCCTGTTCCTTTTATTTTTTTCACTTTTGCCCAGGCTTGTTTCAGTCCAGGGTATAGATTAATGGTCTATACCTGTTCAGTTTAGCATACAGATGTGCTTTTAAGCCCAGCACCTGTTCAGGCAGGTTTCAGGAAGCCAAGCACCCATTGCTTGGGGGTTGGAAGCCATGTGGAGCAGGGCAAGAGGCAGCTCTGGGTCACTCTTGGTGTGGGTTCAGCACAGCATAGGCAGGGGTGAGGTTCAGGGAACAAGAAACAAATTCTGATCCTTCTGGGGGTGATTTCTGGGGCATCATGCAGCAGCCATGGCCATGGGGAGCAGGGTGACTGCCATGAGACAACATTAAGGTTTCTGTGATTCTACAAACTCCCTTTAAATATTTCGGCACCTGAGTCTCAACAAAACTTACATTAATGGCATTATTTAACCTTGCAATTAGTTTCATTAATTGGCTGATTAGTTTTTGGAAATTGTTTTAGTAGCACATGGAGAACAGCTGTTGTACTATGTGCAAGGCATCACCATCGATTCTCGACTAAAGGTAGAAAAACTGCTTCAAGAGCTTCACACACACACACACAAGAAAGAGAGATGATATTCATTGTGACAGAAGTGCAAATCTCAGAGGTCACCTTTTCTTTTGAAGCCCTTTGTCTATTCTTACAATTAAGCAATAGGGTTTTGGTGGCCGACACCCCTTGTGGGACACGGAGGACTTTCACAATTCCAACTAAAGCTGTGTGACCTCTGCCAAAAGCAAAGGCTGCCTGCCTGCGGCAAGGTGGAGAACAGAAACAAGTCCCAGAGGATTGGCAGGTGCAACTAAACAGCTCAGCCCCTCATTTGAATCAGTAAATTAAGGGTTGACAGTGATTATGGCTGATCTCAGCCATCATAACTGATATCACGACTTTGTAAAAGCAGACTGTCAATGTCAGATCTTAGAACTAGGACTCAAAGAATTAAATATTTTAAAGTAGCAGTCTCCAAAGACAGATAAAAGCCCCAAGGCTATGATTTATTTTATTTTATTTTTGTATTTGTAGGGCTGAAAGTAGACCCTTTAATCCACAGGCTGACATTTTCCAATCCTACTAGGAATTGAGTGCCTAACTTTTTCAACCCCTTTGAAAAATCTCAGCTTTAGGCTCTTTGGTAAGTTTGGCCTGATCCAGCACCAAGCTTCTTTTGAAAATGCCTCTACTGAAGGAAAAACTACAGGCACTTTATTATGTAATTGTGAACAAATATTATTTTCTCCCCTCTGTATACAGTTATGGTAGATTTCTGGTTAAATATCAAAGGCTAAAATTTGCATTTCAGAAAAGGTATAGAAAAGGTATTTTCTTTGTTATAGAAAGCTTTCCCCCCACTTTTAGTGCAGCATGCTTACCTACACAGTTATTGAAGATCCTTCTAATTGCTATGTTCATTTAGTAGATTGCTTTATTAAACAGAGACCTGATCAGCTATTTACTGATCACATCTACACACAAACTCAACCCAATCAACCCTTTTACACTGAATAGTGTGTCAGAAATTATGAGAAAAGTATCATAAGTTTGTTTTACAGAAAAGTCTCATATTAAGTAATTCTGGTCCCCAACTCTCATTTCTCTTATTGAAAAAGTGCCGGTAGAGTTTGGTGCCCTTATCCAAGATCTGAGTGTGTGCTATGATTAAGACCTTCAGACATCTTGTTTTTTTTCTTTTTCCTCTAGAAACAGGGAATGCTGAAGATATGGAAAATGAAAAATGTGCCATGTTTGTCCTTGAAGTTACAGTTAGAATAGTGACAATAGCTGTATCACACTGTATTGTTGCTTTTATCAGCAAGTGCCCTGAGCATACATTAACATAATTGCAAACTGCGTGAAAAGTGAACATGCAAAAATGTGATGCAATTGCCAATAGCCTCAAACATCTGTCCCAACAAAGTGTTGCTCCTCCTTATTTTAATTCTTATTATTTTAACAAGGTTAGTGAAGGAGAAACCATGTCACAGATTATATCTACATTCAGAGTGTCAGAACAATTATTGATGTGAAATTGTTATCCAAGCAAATGTGTGTCACATTTTGCTCACTTCCCATAACACCTGTTCACTCTGCTAGCACATTATTACCAGTTAAGGCCAGAATTCATTAGTCCCAGTTAAAGCCCACCTGAAAGCTTAATTCATACACATATCTGAAAAATGAACAAAGTTAAACCAAAATGTGGCACTATTTGAGCAGGGCTTCATCTGAAGGTGGTGGGCAGCAAACTTCTGTAGCAGCTAATGGAAAGAAAGTGAGCCAGGGAAATAGGAATAAATTAAAAGCCCCCCAGCCTTGAGGGCTGAGATCACAGAGGAGCACAACTGAACCAACCTGCATTTCCACCACAGTGCTGAGACCTTCAAAACTCACTCTTGCCACAGCCCCACACTTTCCCAATAACAACAAATTTTGGTTTATCTCCTTGACAGATAAATTACAAAATCAGAAAGCAGATGGTTTAAGGCATTTTAATTCCACCTAAATATTTCCTGCCCCACTTTGGGGTTCTCAGTCCTGAGCCTGCACCTTGTGTCTCCTTCCACACACATTGAGTGCCACCATCTCCCAGCTCCCCAGACTGCTCCCGTTTGCCACCAAGGAAAGTCAATCTTGCCTTTCTGTGATACTTGAACACACTCTGTGAATTTGAGGGCATCTGCCCTGCAGATATACCACTAACTGTAACCCCAGGAGGCTTAAAGAAATATCAGCACTCCAATTCATAGAGTAAAGGTCTGAGGAGGCAGCTCTGTGAACGGATAACTGCCCGGGGCTTTGCCGAGCACAATATAGCTGTCACTTGTTATTAGGTGAAAGATTTTCTGGGGAACAGTGTTTTTCATTTTGCATGTCAGAGACGGGGGAAAAAACACATTTAGACAACCATTTCTTTAAGAAAAGAGAAGAGAGCGGCGCAGCAGAGCTCACTTACCGGGGCTGGTTATTGTCAGGAGGTCAAGCCGCCGCTTCTGCTGAAAAACAAATTATAAAGGAATTGTTAAAAGGGGACTAATTTTAGCGGGTCAGCTTAGACCTGCAAAGTAAGTGTTCTGACATTTACAGCAGGATTAATTACAAGTTACATGGCTCACTGTAACTCTTTTGGAAGGGATCCACATGTACTTTATGAGGGAGTAAAATCCCCTTCCTCAGTCCTTTTAATGTGTTTTTATTTGCCCTTATAAAGTGTTACTATTTCTTTTTTGGAACATATAGTTGAAATGAATAGCTGGAAGCACAGATGGACCGATATATTTATAAAAGTGATTTCTGATTCCACAGGGAAGAAGACATGGAACCAGGACAAGCAACTCTAAATTCTTTATTCATATCAATCATTGACTCAATGCCTGTATGTGATCAAACACAATTATATCGCCTTGGGGTGAACCTTTCAAAGACGTGCAGGAGGATCTAGACAAACTCAGGACTGATAAAAAGGAAAGCTTCTTTACATGCTGAGTGCAGTCAGCCCATGGATCTTGCTGCCACTGGATATCCCTCATCCCAAAAGCTTGCCAGATTTGATCATCACTGGATGTGTGTACAGACAGCAAAATACAGGCAGTTATTATGGCAAATAACCCAGTTTACACAGAGGACTGGTTTCTGGAATGGCTGCAAACCGTCACAGGATGAACAAACCCGTACTGTGAGAAAGTTAGGAAAATGTTTGGCCTGGAACAAGCCAAAAATCCCACCAAAGCCTTGGTGATGGTGGGTGCATCTGAGGTTCCCTTTTCCCACAACATGTAGACAGTGCTGTTGCCTATTCCACGTTCCCAGTCTCAGGTTGTCTCTCTACTACTGTCTCTCTGTAGCTTGCCACTTAAATCCAGGTGGTCCTAGACCATTATTATCTCTTTTCCACTTTTCTGTGGGCTGAGAGCTTTCTGTCACAAGCAGGGCTTTCCCCATCTCATGGACAGACTGCTACTGCCCCTTCATCACAGCACTTTCCAACTTACTGTCTTCTTCCTAACTTTGCCCAACATCAGTGTGTCTAGCAGGTATTGAAGATTATACTGTCCAGTTTAATTTCTCTCTCCTAATTTGCTCAATAATGTCTGTGTTACTTTCATTTATTGTCAGCCCTATTGATCTTCCAATCTAATTCTCATCACTGCGCTCACTGTATTCCCTATGTGACAGCTGAAAGTCCTTGAGGAGGAAACATTGACTTGGCATTCCCTACCCTGAGTGCTCTTCCTTGGAAATCATGACTGATGAGACTCCTTCCCAAACCCATCATTTCCCTGTGGTTAAGCTTCACTGTCTGAAGTGCATGGACACAGCTGGTCATCCACTGAATACACTTGAGCTGTGTGGAGCACAACAAAACATTTGGCCTGCTGGAAAGCCAAGTGGGGTGTCAGGCTGGAAAAAATACATTTTCTGAAACCTTCTTGGCCTTCAGTTCCATACCTCTGGCACACCACAAAATATATTTGAGAGAAAATTCCTATCTAACTTTTTCCAGAGGTGCTCCTTGTTCTCTTCACTCTGCTAAGTCATTCCAAGCATGACCTTAGCAGTGTGCTTGAACATATTTGCTTTAGTCTAAAATACTGGGCCCAGTGTATGGCCTAACTTTTTTCCAGGTGTGCCAGGGTAAAAGGGAGCAGAAAACCCTGCTGCTGCCTTGTGTCACCTGCAAACCCCCTCATTTCCTGGGAGCAGCAAAGCAGGGTAAGAAAACCTATGTATGAACACAGGACCCACCTTCCCAAGGGGAGCTGGGAGAAAAAACATCTCCTGATGAGCTAAATTTTATATAGATCCTGCACCTTAATCCTGATTCATATGTACAAAGCTGTGAAATGCCAGAGCTCAGCCCCCACTGGGCCCAAAGCTTTGCTTACATTTCTCAGCACAACTGGAACTCCAAATGCTGTATATCTAACGAGCAGCCAGAGCAGAAAATATATATCTGAAGCCTATATTCTGTGAAAGCCTCTCTGCTAGGAAAAAAGGTGGAATATAAATATCCTGCATCAAAGAAAGTTGGAAAATGTAAAGATATGGAACAGAGAGAAAGGCATGCAGCCCAACTGGTCCTCAACCCTGAAATGGGTTAAAAATAAACATTAAGTGAAAAACCAAAATAGCTTAGCTTGATGCGTCAGGAAAACAAAAGCATATAGGACCGGTCAGACAAATGGGAATTAAAATGAAATTATTACAAGTCAAATGTTCAGTTTGTAACTTTTTTCCAGGTTGAATGCTGCCTTCAAGCTGACCTTGGAAAAAACAAATTAACTCCAGACCCAGGAAATCTTTGTGTATATGTTGAACTTTAAGCTGAAGGCATTTCTCTGACTTCAAGTGGAGCAGCACTGATCTTTTGCATCTAACACCTAACTGCTGCAAGGGATTTGAAACGCCACCAGGTTCCTGGCACTGGCTCCACCCAAGTGCTCCAGGCTGGAGCTCGGTGATTCCTGCCTGCCTGCTGACAGAGGGAGGAAAAAATTCTCAGCTCTGACCTTCACCGGACCTTGGAGAGCTTTCTCTGCTTTAGCTCCTCCAGGGAAGTTTGTGTACACTCACCCCAGCTCTGCAGAGAAGCAAACAGCAGAGTGCATTCCAGAATCGTGCATTTAAACATGCAAAGATGCCCTAATTATGGACACAATCACTTTCAGGAAATTCCTGCCTGCTCTCAGATCTCAGGGCTAGCTCTGCCGTTTCCAGGGCTCAGCTGGATGCAGGCAGCCTAGTAACTAGATGGATTAAAAAAAACCAAAAAACCCAGACAGACTCACTTATGAGCAGCTATAAAACCAGCAGTATTTGAATTTAAAGAGAGAGACATTACAAATGTCACACCCATTAATAAAATAATTTCATCAGAAGAATTGTGACTGTGGGGCTTTATGTATTTGCTTCTTCAGTGTTGAAAGATGCAAATTGCAGCTGTGGCCCCCCTCCAGCATGATCACTCTCTCCCTGTTTTGACAGATTTCTTGAAAGACTCAGCTCACAAGATGTCTGGCTTTTTTTGTTCTGCCTTTAGGAATTTTCCACTTCTCAAACACCTGCCCCTGCTGAGATGCTTGGGACCATCCCAATCTTCAGGCAACCCACTGTCCCAAGAATTTCTTACAATCTGAGCACTGAAATGTGATGAGTGCTGTCCCTGGTTGGGAAAGTGGTGACAGCTTCCCATGTCTCTGAGGCTGGATTTCACCCACGTTGACAAAAGGGCATTCCACAAGAGACACAAAAATGATCCCCACAGCATCAGCCATAATTTATAAGAGGCAAACAGAAATATTCCCTGCATCATCACAGTATCGCTGCTGCTGCTGTAATCCTGTCCTGCCCTTAAGGGGCAGCATCCTCTTTTCCACTCTGCTGAATGTTTGAGATCCCAAGGGCAGGAAGAGGCCACTGGTGATTCATCCTGTTCCCACCTGGAGCAGTTTCCATCTCTGGCACTACCAGAGGCACAGTCCCTCCAGCACACCAGGGCTCGGAGCAAACCTGCAGCGGATCGTGCTCACTTCCACAAAATTAACACTATCCTTAATTAATGCAATAAGCACTGATGAGTAATAAATCATATTAAAATACAAGGAAGGCAATTTTTTAATAAATTAAGCATTGATTTACTCAATAAATATTAATCTGCTAAGCATCAAGAATTCATTACATTTTAGGAAACCAGTTGAAGAACATGGTTGGTGAGCTGGTCTGCAGTGTGCAGAACGGTCCCTGTTCACCCATAATATACACTTACTTTTAACTAATTCCTGAATTTATCAAGTCAAACAACTTGCCTGAAAGTGAGTCTGGATTATTATTCCATTGCAAAATGCAATTTTCTCAACACAGATTATAATTCACCCCTCAGATTTTTCCTGTTTCTTAGTAGCTCCTTTTCTAAGTACCTCCTTTCTCTTCCTTGGTTTTGGAGGTCTTTAAAATATTTGCTGACTGGTGTCATTTAATTTTCACCTCAATTAACTTAGCAAGAGTTGCAAAACTAGGAAAAAAAAATTGCAGGGGGAGTGTAAATTAACTCATTCATTTAAGTTTAGCTTATCTATGAGATGTTCTTTCACACTTTGCTCTCTGCAGAGTTCCTCCAACCTTTTATATAGATGTGGGATGTGCTGCACTTGCTTTGACTCTTATCTACAGATTAGCAAAAGAGAAGGGAAAAAAAGCCAGATGCAAAGATGCCCCACGAGACTGATATGGAGCTGTTTCTGTAGCAACCGATGATTTTCTTCTCATGTAAGAATGAGCCTCGTCATATCTAATTCTGAATGTATCTGGGCCTTCCCTGCCAGCCAAAGCTGTGTCAAGTATTAAGTCAATATAGTCAGAGAGAGTGATAAAAAAGCAATTATAAAGTCATCTTCCTACTCCTTCTCCAGCCATGATCCAAAAAATATCCCTATCCCTGCCTTCTGTCCCAGCACATCATTTCCAGGCCCCAGCAGTGCAGGTAAGTGGGGATGGAGCTGGCAGCAGCTACTCAGGGATCTATTCCACACGATGCTGGAAGCTCCTTCAGCCTCCCAGCCATGCACATCCCAGGAGCCAGCAGAGATTTTCCTAAACAGCAAGGCCATCTATTCCTGCCTTGCTCCATGTAAAATTCCTAAGCCCAGAGCTGAGATCACTTCATCCCTAGAAAGCTCCTGTTGGCTTTGTGCCTTTCACTGCCTTCACTCTGTGGGCAGTTTTTGCTGCAGCTGTGAACCCAAAACCAGGCTGCCCACCCACTGACAGCTCCTGCCACTGCCCCTTCACAGGAAGCTGCAATTGACTCTCTGGGACCTCACAAGGACTTTGTCTTCTTATTTTACCCAGCCTGGTCTGTGCTATTGATTTCTTCCCCCTAATCTGAGTGTGTTTTGAACATGTGTCTGTCTCTCACCACCTTCAATTTACTGTGCAGAGGGTTTAAGATTGAAATGAATTGCACGATGTTATTTTTTTTTTTTTCCTGGAAACTTTG